CTCACCCCTTGGAGCAAGATTGTTATCCCCTTAAAATTCCCATCTTTTAGCTTTCCCCCACTTCAGGGAAGCTTTAGTTTGGAGGAAACCCATCTGTTTCTCATTAGTGGTCTCTGGCTTACCTCTGCTGCTCTCCCTCTTTAAAAACAAACAAGGGCCTTAGAAAGCTGAATTCTGCTAGAAATTCTGTTGGGAGAAGTGCCCTCTAGGAGTAAAAGAGGTGCAAGTTTTAGCTCTTTGGTTTGCAAAAGGTATGCAGGAGAGTTTAATGCTTATGCCTGAGGTATGGTACTAACTTGAAATCAAAAACTTGTACCAAAGTTTTGCTGGATAGCAGATCACTAGAGAGGTAGAGGCTACTCTAGCTCCTCTCCTGTCCAAGCTGTGACTCAGTTTTGCGTGGCACTGAATGTAGTGGGAGCCATTCCTACCTGCTGTATACTGATGCCCCCCGCTAGCCAGCTGTTGCTAGGCTAAAGGGTTAAGAACAGGGAATGGATAGAAATGTTAAATGCTTGTGGGTGCTGTGGGCTGCTTCTGGCTCTATTTGCCCCTCCTCCTTTCTCAGGTCATCGGCTCTCCACTGTCCTACATGCGTCATTGACATATTGCAGCTAAGCTTTTCAGTGCCAGATAGGGATTTTTTTTTTAAATTGCCTTTCAGTGCAGCCCAGATAACTCTGCTGGCCTTTGCTGTCTTTGAAAACCAATTCGAAACCAGCGATCATCTACCCTTGACCTGGCAGCTTCTTCAAAGGCAGCCTTGGACCTCTGGAGATCTTTCAATATTTATTCATTATGAAGTAAATTGGGTGCATAGGCCTCAAACATGGGCCTCTGGGCATTTCATCAACGTTATACAGGAATTAAAAGGATAAAAATCAACTGTTGGATGCACTCGGTCAGTGCCTACTACACCTGTTTAAATGGCTGAGTGACCTTCCCTCACATCAGATTGTATGATCAAATACATAGAGTAACATCTCACACTTCCATCACGCAAGTGTCAACCGCTGGGCAAGACAAATGATTCCAAGCATCTGCTCATTACAAAAGGGGAGGGGTAAGGGCAGGGGCATGCGACTTCCTTCTTCAAATTTACAAATTTTAACTTTTTTTACAAAAAGACATTTAATATATTGGGCTTTCACTTTCTCTATTCCCGTGGTCTTAATTTAGTCCTTCAAAGGAGACCTTCCTTCCATTACTTTTGCATCCAACTCTTTAGTAAAATATGACTCCATATACCCACAGCTACTAGCTGGGATTAATTAGGTAAATGGCTTGCACAGCAAAGGGGAACAAAGTACAGAGCTACCATTGCAAGGTGTGGGTTTTGATGCATGGTAGTTGTGAAAAGGGTGGGGGGTGTGCTTATAGCAGGGGGGATAGCACTGGATACTGTTAGGTGATTTACCTTTTCATTCTCTAGGTTTGTTTGAGTATTGCATAGCAACCTGAGGTATTTAGGTCATTTTGTGAATTAATATGATAGGAACTGCATCTATAGTTAAATTTCTGAGGACTGCAAATTGTAAGGAGATTAATCTTCATGCATCAAGGAACAACCTAACCACCAGATGATCACAATATAGTCTAGGTAGCAGCAGTAGGATGTGTTCTGCCTTCTGCAGAAGCACCTGGAATTGGTGACATTGGCTAGGTTTGTGTTTGTTTTCTAATTTGGCATCTCCCATTTTAAAAAATATAGTTATCTTGTAAAGTGGCTTTAGGGGTGGAAATATACAGCCCTGTGGACAATGGGGCTCTCCAGAGATGCAGGTGACCTCAATTTCATGAACAGGACCTTGCTTTGTATGCTGCGGATCTGAGTTTAGATTTGAATTGCCACACCAGGGTGAATTAGCAGCCTCAAGGAAGGAGTACAAGGCCTTATATTCCTCCTCCCCCAGACTAAAACGATATAGATATTCCAGATAGGTCCCATGCCTTAGGTGCTATGTGTTCTCTAGGAGGCTCCATACATAAAGCTGTAGCAGCTGGCTTAAATGTATTCCTCTCAAATGGGACATCTTGGTAAACAACACCAGTCCGTCCTGTAACTTGTTCTAGCTAAAATTACTCACTTGCAATGAGGAGGGCCAACCAGTCACGCAAATGAGAGAGGGGACTGGCTGATCTGTGCTCCCCACAAAAACAAAGTGTAACTGGAGGAGATGGAGGCAGGAGCATAAACAAGCTGAGCTGTCTGGCAAAGAAACAATTTACTGGGACTTCTCCACTAGAGAGCGCTGGGCTCTCACCAGCCAAGCCAGCCCGGCCTGTTTCAATTCCTGTAAACAACTCCTGAGCAGCTAAGTCTAGGACAGATGGGGGAGGAGGCATAAAGGCTGAACAGGGCAGAGAGCATTACACAACAGAGCAAGGGACTGTTTTCCATGAAGCTGTTCTGTTCTGACATGTAACAAATGGGTATTAAGTAGCAAAGGTTCCTGGAATTGGGGGTGGGAAGGGATCTTTTAAGAATTTTTTTTCTCCAGGGGGAAAAAAAGGGAGGATATAAATTGTAATAAATATCAGGTGGGGTAGAGGGATCCCAGAACATTGACATCTTATGAATCAAATTTCCAGACTCTTGAACCAGAATCTATAATGCAATGAGATGGATGGGGGAGGACTGAAGTTGTTTGCATGAGCGACCTGAGCTTGTTTGCAACTAACCATTTTGTACACTTCGGGGAAACTTACCCTCTCTGTGCGTCTTCACTGCAGACCTGAGGGAAAGGAGCTGGAATGCAGCCCTGGCCTTAATGCACCTTGTAATGACAGAAATCCCTGTTCACTGGGGTTATTTTTCTACTGTGACTTTCTTGCATCCAATATTGTAGTGGATATGTTGGCTCATGGTTCGCCTGTCTTGAGTGTTTTCCTCACACCAGATCAGAAAAATGGACTAACTAGCTAAGCAATTAGAATCAAGTGACCAAATCTGAATTTGGCCAGTTTAATGCCTTTGTCTTGAATGTGCCGGCTTACATAGATAAAACAGGTTGCTCAGTATTCAAGTCTGAAAAGTTGGATGGGAATGGCAAGAATGAGAGGTGAAATGGGGATGTTGGGGAAGGAGAAGTAAGCAAATGCCAGAGGAATTCAGGCCATGTAGCAGTAGCCTCCAGGCCTGCCCCTCTCTCTGGTCCAGTACTAGCTATTAGTATGAAGAACAGTGTGATCTTTGTTCTTCCCCCGTGACTGGTCTGGCTGCAGCTTCCAACTAGCCATTGCAAGTGCTGTAACTTAAGTGATAGAAATGTGTGCTGTTCAGTGGTATGGGGTCTGGACTCAAGGTCTGCTGCCACCCCAAGTGGGGCTGTCTACGCATATGCTGGGTCGGGGGTATTTCTTGCATCTCCAGCGAAATGTGCTCTCTGGATTGCAGGAAACAGCAGGAAAGGGAAGAAAGCAAGGTGGGGAGCATCTGGCCTGGCCTCTATCCGCCTGAGAAATGCCAGGCCACGCAGTATACCTGTTCCCTGTACCACCGCACTGAAACAGCATGCGGGGAGCACTTTTTTTTTAAAATTCCGGGTCAAATTAGCCAAATTGGTCCCGAATCCTCTCCATTGAGCAACACTCAGTTGTTAAAACACCATACGTGGCACTACAACTGGCAAGTATCCTCCACCCCCAACTTTTCACCCTGGGGCTTCAGATACTCCCAAATCCCTTGGCAGGCATCCTATGTGCAGGCCTGAGCCCAGAGAGGCTTGGGGTTCAGATGCCCCTCTGAGTCTTACTTGCCCTTAACCAAAAGCCCCAGGAGCAAGCTAGGGAGGAGTCTCTTGTGGCTCTCAGCTGCGTGCAACATCGCTGGCACACCATGCCAGTGCTTCAACCTGGTTGGGGACAGAGACCCCTGCCAGAGACACGAACGCCACATGCCCCTGGAGGCTGGGGGGGCATGGTGAGCTCCTGCAGGCAGCAGCAGTGCTGTTGGCAGCAGGAGTGTGGTGGCAGCAAGTGGGGAGCCCTGTCGGCAGCGGGGGAGTGGCAAGCGCTGACTGGCTGTCAGTGACCACCCTTAGATGCTGCTGGCAGTGGCGATCGCGGACCACCTGCAGACACCACTGGCGGTGTCAGGCAGGGGGGAAGTGGTAAGCAGTGACTGCCCACAGGCACCACTGGCAGTGTTGGTGGTGCCTTTTTGCAGGGGGTGCACCGCCATGCTCAGGGGGTGCATGTGCACCCGCTACGCATCACCAATGGCCAGGGAGATGTCTAAGTTTGCAGTTGGGGAGAAGGCGGGGGGACACCTCAGAGACAAGCCAGCCACCTTCCCCATAAATCAGAGCTCGGTCCCCCCTTCACCCTGGGGCAAGTGGCACCTGGCCCCACCTTGCGGAGGTGCCACCTTCATGCCCCGGGAGCTGTGACGACAGCCCCTCAACGGCTGGGGGAAGCCGGGGCCCAACTGCCCTGCTCCGGGTGCAGGCCGGGACTCTTTGCCCTTGAGGGTGGCTTTAAGGGCTGAGGAGCCCGCCGGCCTCTCCCCGGCTTCCGGGCAGGGGAGGGAAGCCGGGCAGCCCCGCGGGAGCGCGGACCCACCGGG